AAAGCCAAAATAGACAAACAGGATCTAATTAAACTCCAGAGCTTCTGTACAGCAAAAGAAACAATCATTAAAGTGAACCAGCAACCAACAGAATGGAAAAATACTTTGCAATCTACCCATCTGACAAAGGGCTAATATCCAGAATCTACAAAGAATTAAAACAAATTTACAAGAAAAAAACAAACAAACCCATTCAAAAGTGGGCAAAGGATATGAACATACACTTTTCAAAAGAAGACATTTATAAGGCCAACAAACATGAAAAAATGCTCATCATCACTGGTCATTAGAGAAATGCAAATCAAAACCACATTGAGATACCATCTCATGCCAGTTAGAATGGCAATCATTAAAAAATCAGGAGTCAACAGATGCTGGAGAGGATGTGGAGAAATAGGAACACTTTTACACTGTTGGTGGAGTGTAAATTAGTTCAACCATTGTGGAAGACAGTGTGGCGATTCCTCAAGGACCTAGAAATACAAATTCCATTTGATCCAGCAATCCAATTACTGAGTATATATCTAAAGGAGTATAAATCATTCTGTTATGAAGACACATACACATGTATGTTCATTGCAACACTGTTTACAATAGCAAAGACCTAGAACCAACCCAAATGCCTATCAATGATAGAGTGGACACAGAAAATCAAACACGACATGTTCTCACTCATAGGCAGGTGTTGAACAATAAGAACACATGGACACAGGGAGGGGAGCATCACACAATGAGGTCTGTTGGGGGGGAATAGGGGAGGGACAGTGGGAGGTAGGGAGGTTGGGGAGGGATAACATGAGGAGATATGCAGATATAGGTGACAGGGGGATAGAGGCAGTAAACCACATTGCCATGTAGGTACCTTTGCAATAATCTTGCATCATCTGCACATATACCCCAGAACTTAAAGTGCAATTATATATATAGATATATGTATAAAATTTCTATTCTTTTAAACAATTTATGAAGTAAAAATATAGCCCATTCTGGCATAGCTGAAGCATCTGACATTTTGTGAATGCTACTGTAAATTCAGTTACAATGTTCGATATTGAAAGTAACTATTTTTTGTTGGTGTTATGATACAACAACTAGAAATTTTGGTGGAGCCCAGCATCATGGTAAAAACAATGACCTTACAAAACTTAAAAAAGTAGAAATGATGGAGCAGAACTCTACTTGGAATTGGCTGTGGTATACATGTAATTCATAAGTTGATTAAGACCAGTTGTGATATTCCACCATTCAAAATTAAAACTATCATTATCAAACTTCACATATACATGTATACTTAAATCACTTCTACATATAAGTGATTTAACCACATAAAATTTAGGATGACACATGCTGAAGACAAAAAAAAATTATTCAATATTGCAATACATAGTTTCTTTTTCTTGATGACTACAATCAACTGAATATTAGAAGTGTTTGAGCCTGGGGGTCGGGTGCAGTGGCGCACACCTCTAATCCCAACACTTAGGGAGGCCGAGACAGGTGGATCACCTGAGGTCAGGAGTTCGAGACTAGCCTGGCCAACATGGCGAAACCCATCTCTACTAAAAATACAAGAATTAGCCAAGCGTGATGGCACGTGCCTGTAACCCCAGCTACTCGGGAGGCTGAGGCAGGAGAATTGCTTGAACCCAGGAGGCGGAGGTTGCGGTGAGCCAAGATCACACCATTGCATTTCAGCCTGGTCAACAAGAGTAAAACTCTTTGTCTCAAAAAGAAAAATATGTTTGAGCTTTTGAAAAAAATTTTTATATCAACCCAAGTGTCCTACAATGGAATTGAACTTTTTAAATTAAAAAGTCCTCTAAATTGTGGCTGTATTTGTTCAAAATTAGTTGAAAGTCTCCAATAAAAGTACTCAATAAATAAAATAACAAAAAAAGTGTTGAGGTTTTTAGTAAACTTTGTTACTAAAAATAAGGTTTATAACAATAAAGACATTAAAACTTATTCTTCCTCATACAAGGAAGGAGCTGAACATATCGAATGGAAAGGCCTTAATGGGTATACAAGTTTCAATTTTCAAATTCAATAATTCTTCTTCAGGATATATTACTTTTAGGGAGAATCACGCGACAGAGCAACTATTTTTAATTCAGTAAATTTATATTCTGTTCTGGAGTAGAATAAAAAAGCTTATAATTTTATAGCATTTGTATTTGGCAAAATTTCAAAAACATCACAAATACAGATGACTTATTTGATAAGTTTTTATCTTATGAAAACATTTGTTGAAGGAAAATACACTGAATGGAGGGAGGAAACAACCTGAGATGTTTACACATTTTCATACAAAAAAAAATGTATTCGTTGGGAATATCCTCCATTGAGCAGAAATTATTTTGAATATGCTTCAGATTCTAAAAGGCAAGTATTATCTCAATTTAAAAAAAGATAAGAATTCATTGGAGTCATCAAACATTCTAACTTATATACCATAAAATACAGCTTTGGCTATTACTCAATTTTATTAGAACATTTTAATAAGATTATATCGAAAATACATAAATCCTTAAGAAAGATACTAATGGTGTGGTATTAGAGACAGATATAGATCAGAAATAGATTAAAATATGTGCCTATACAATTGCCACAAAAAGAACAAAATACCTAGGAACACAGCTAACTAGGAAGGTGAAGGATCTCTACAAGGAGAGCTGCAAAACACTGCTCAAAGAAATCACGAATGACACAAATAAATGCAGAAACATCACATGCTCACAGATAGGAAGAAGCAATAGCATTAAAATGGCCATACTGTCTGAAGCAACTTATAGATTCAATGCTATTCCTATTAAACTGCCATTGAAATTCTTCACAGAACTAGAAAAAAAACTATTTTAAAATTCTTATGGAACTGAAAAAAGAGCCTGAGTGGCCAAGGCAAACCTAAGCAAAAAGAACAAGGCTGGAGGCATCATGCTACCTGACTTCAAAATATACTACAGGGTTACAGTAACCAAAACAGCATGGTACTGGTACAAAAATAGACACATGGGCCAATGGAACAGAATAGAGAACTCAGAATTAAGACCACACACCTGCAACTATCTGATCTTTGAGAAACCTGACAAAAACAAGCAATGGAGAAAGGATTCACTGTTGAATAAATAGTGCCGGGATAACTGGATAGCCATATGTAGAAGATTCAAACTGAACCCCTTCCTTACACCGCACACAAAAATCAAGTCAAGATGGATTAAACACTTAAATGTAAAACCAAAAACTATAGAAACTCTGGAAGACAACCAAGACAATATCATTCAGGACACAGGCACAGGCAAAGATTTTATAACAAAGATGCCAAAAACAAAAATTGACAAATGGGATCTAATTAAACTAAAGAGCTCCTGCACAGCGAAGAAACTATCAACAGAGTAAACAGACAATACACAGAACAAGAGAAAATGTTTGTGTGCCTGTAGTCCCAGCTACTCTGGAAGCTGAGGCAGGAGAATTGCTTGAACCCAGAAGGTAGAGGCTGCAGTGAGCTGAGATCATGCCACTACATGCCAGCCTGGGTGACAGAATGAGATTCTGTCTCGAAAAAAAAAAAGTTTAAAACTTTGCCCATATATCAAGAATAGTTATTTTGTTGTTATATGAATTGCTTACATAATAAAGAGGAGTTTTTTAATTTTTGCCTCTATACACAAGATAAATATTTTTATGTTTTTTTCAGGCTGGGCTCGTTGGCTCACGCCTATAATCCCAGCACTTTGGGAAGCCGAAATGGGCAGATCGCTTGAGGTAAAGAGTTCGAGCCTAGCCCGGCCAACATGGTGAAACCCATCTCTGCTGAAAATACCAAAATTAGCTGGACATTGTAGTACACACCTGTAATCCCAGCTACTTGGGGGGTTGTGGCATGAGAATCGCTTGAACCCGGGAGGGAGAGGTTGCAGTAAGCTGAGATCGCACCATTGCACTCCAGCCTGGGAGAAAGAAGGAGAGTCTTTCTCAAAAAAATTTTTAAAAAATTCAAAAAGTTTTTAATAGAATCAACTTGATGGTCAATAAATATTCAAAAGATTAAGTTCCACTTATTTTTAGCACCTCTTTTTACTCTCAAAAGTGTCCCAGTTTGGTTGATGTTGGCTAACTATAGCCAACAGGATAAAGCCACAGTCCTTGTGATCTGGCCTCTGCACCTTTCCAGTCTCCATCCCAGGCCCCTTCAGAGCCTCACAGGCTCGGCTCTCAAAGCTCCACTCCCACACTTCCCTCCGGCTGCAATGCCCTGTGCCCTCATAACCCTGCTGCATTCTAACTCGGCCATTACATCCAACCTGAATATGTTCTTGCAGCTTCTGCTGGCTTTCTCCTCTTACCTTCCCATCTTACAGCATTAATCTGTGCACATATATTGTCCTCACAGAGCTTCACATGCAACGCCGATTGTGGTTATGGCGCCGCTGTTTTGTTTCCTAACCATCTTTCAAACTGGGTAGGGAAAGCTGAGAAGTCGTGGACTTTGACTACCTTATCTTTGTACTTCCTTATCCAGAACCTGACACATTACTGGACACAAACTGGTTATGGCAAACGTTTGTCTAATTAAATGTGTTGTATCACAAAGACGGCCTTTCAGAACCTCCTAAAACACACGATGAAGGCATCCTTCTGATCTATGCTTGTGCATAAGGCCCTTCCAGGACCTGATCCTCTCGCTGCTGGGCCTCAACAGGGCCTCTTTTTCTGGAGGACTCGTAGGTTCATGATCATCTGCTGGCATGCTCTTGAGAAGGCTCTAGGGTGAATAGATAACCTCAGTTGTCCAGTGATTCAGTTTGCTACGTAGAATCTGAAATAATGATTATATATATATTGTGTGTGTGTGTGCGTGTGTAAAATTAACACTCACTTATCCCCAAATAAGCAAACAACAATTTCCAGTGCCTACACCAAAAGCTTGACTAACAAGACTATAACTACCAGAAAGGGTATTGAATATAACCTAATCCTATTTCCTGAAGCTGGTCACAGACTCCTCTTCACTAGGCAAGAGGCCCTTAAGTCAGAAGATGTCCAGCAAAGTGCACCTGAGACACACAAAATGGTGAGGCTCCATATTAGGTTATGTCTCATTCAAACAAAACCATCTTTCATTAGGGATATAATTTAAAAGTGCCTATATAGGTGTATATATCATAAACACTTTGAATAGATAGCATCGTCAATTCACATGTCCATCGTCGCCAATAACACAGAGAATTACCTAGGAGACAGCATGGTGGCAATAGAAAGGCCTTTGTGACAGAATTTTAAGTTCATCTTTTCTTGAGCCTCGGTTTCCTCATCAGTGAAATGTGAATAATCATGCCCGCCATTTAGAGTTGTCGAAAGGATTAAAGAAGACAGTACCTAGACAGATAAATAGTAAAGCTGTTATAGTTGTTACTACATGACCTGTTATTGTTTGACCACCATGTAATCTACTAATATTGTACAACCTTGATTCCAACTCTCTGAAGTGAAGGAGGGCTGGTCACTAAGTACCCATGGCTGCCAAATCCTGTTGTCGGTGACATTTTAAGAACAGCCTCCCTCTGAATATGCACAGGGAATCGTCAGGCCCAGGGAAACCTCTGCTGCTTCCCAGCAGGAAGCTCCCTCAAGAAAGCAAGAGGTGAGCGGGTTTCTGTGATCCCACCAAGATTTGGCTGAGCTCCACTTTCAGCCTGGTGACTCACGTCCTTTGAGTTACTAAAGGAATTGAAAGTGTTGCCAAGGAATTTTGCAGTTTGCAGCAGGTGGATGTAGAAATTACAGAACCACCTTCTTCAAATCGGTAACAGTGGATGTTTGTGCCCACAAGGGTGAGGACACCTTGGCAAGCACCCTAACCAACTTCTCCTCATACTTCACAACAGGCCCCAAACACTAAGGCCATGTTGTCACTGTCTGGTGGTCTATGAATGCACAGATGCAGAAGTCAAACCTGATCCTGAGCAGAGGGTCTAAATCTGCAGGTATCAACAAATATGCTACAACCTTTTTGTAATGTGAACAGTGAATTGACTTTTATGAAACTGAATATTAACTGAATAAATGATTATGCCGTTCAATTATTTCACTTTAGATATAATGACTTCACTTCAGATATAATTTTAAGTATTTCAAAAGATGTTTCTCTCTCTTTATCAATACAACTGATTGCTTTATCTCCATGCTGCATTTTGGGCAATTTTCTCATATCTAGCTTTTAGTTTATAAATTTTTTCTGCTATAGCTGTCTTTAACCAGCCGATTAAACCATGCACTGCATTTCCATTTCAATGACTATATTTTGCAATTCTAGAAAAAGATATTTAGCTATTTTTTAATGTTTTTCATAATTCCACTTAAGTTTATGTGTTGGTGTTTTGGCTATATCTATTTGTATCCTTTTTTTTATGATTGCCCTGAGAATAACAAAATGCATATTTAACCTCTTACGTCTATTTAGATCGAATATTTTACCACTACAAGCCAAACACAGAAGTCTTACAACTGCATGACTCTTTGCCTTCTCCCATTTGTGTCACAGCTGTCAGATGCTTTGCATATACATACCTGGAAACCCTACCAAAGTTACAATTTTTCTTATTCTTTTTTTTTTTTTTTTGAGACAGAGTCTCGTTCTTATCACCCAGGCTGGAGTAGCATGGCTTGATCTTGGCTCACTGCAACCTCTGCCTCCTGGGTTCAAATGATTCTCCTGCCTCAGCCTCTAGAGTAGCTGGGATTACAGGCATGCGCCACCATGCCAGGTTAATTTTTGTATTTTTAGTAGAGCCGGGGTTTCACCATATTGGCCAGGCTGGTCTCGAACTCCTGATCTTAGGTGTTCCACCCACCTCGGCCTCCCAAAATGTGGGATAACAGGTGTGAACCACCGAGCCCAGCCAAACATACATATTTTAAGAACTTAAAAGGAGAAAAATATAAACTTTTATATTACCCACAGTTAACCATTTTCATTGTTCTTCCTCCATTTCTGAAGTTTCAAGTTTCCCTGTAGTATCCTTTCCCTTGATCCTTCATCATTTCTTTTAGATGGGTCTGCTGGTAATACACTTTCTTCATTTTGTCCTCTTGCTGAGCCAATAATCAGTTTGTTCAATTTCTCCTTCACAAAGGGTACAACTAATTAATAAAGTAGAACAGAAAAAGGGTAAAGATTTCATTTAAGAAAAAACAGGTGAGTGAAACAAAACACCATCCCTTTGCAAAGCAGCTTCCAATGAAGCCCCTTTTTCTTTTAAGCAGGTCTCAGGAACTCAGCTTTTTTTTAAACCTTCCGCATTTGTCACGACTGGCCTATCCCATGGGTTCCTTTTCCCTAAAGCCAGCCATGGGTGAATGTCCACTTCCATCAGCTGGAAAGAATAAGTACCCATTCTGTCTATTTCACAGAGTCAACGTGAATGATGCTGCTCAGAGTCTCCATAGTAGCCACCAGGCTCCCAAACCAATATAGAAAGAAGACAGACTTGAACTACAGGGAAACTGAATTTTTAGAAAGTTATCTCTCTTACCCCATTGATGCGGACAATCCTGAAGTGCAGCTCAGAAGAAAAAATATGCAAATCCAACTTCTCAGTGTACATTTTCCTCTAATTGTCCTGATGCGTAAGGATGTTATTGGCCCGTCATCACTAGTCTAATAATAATAGTTGCTTTGCAATTTCTTTGGATTCTCTGAAGATTGAGAGTGATTGTTAGAAGACAATTTTCCATGGATCTCTCAATATTTCTGCACATCTTATAAGCAGAAGTACGGATGCCCTTTTGTTCTGAACTGTCTTTTCAAGGATATTTGTACAGCAAACAGCACGGAAATAATAGAGTGTGTTTCCCTTCAAAGCAAAGAGCAGGTTGCTTACAGCCTTGGAGGATATTAAAGGTGATATTCCCACTGAAGCAAAAGACAGGTATGCTTACTGTCCAGTGTAATAAAGAAAATGTTTCTCTCTGAAAGCAAAGGTCAAGCATGCAAGCTGCTTATTACAGAAGATTCAGGTTCCCTAAATTCAGGCTTCTTCTGTAGCAAACCCATTGAGTGTGCAGTTATTATCTAGCTCCTGTGCAAACTGGAGCTGAAGGACTAGGGCAAAAATGCTAATTATCTGTCTGCCGAAACTCTGACCCAGGAGTCTCAAGTCTCCAACCAGCATCCTCGAAACTGTGGCCGGCTAACCTGTCAGCTTGCAAGCAGATAAATCCCTAGACCCTCAGAGGTCTTGGCAGTTACAAGATGACCTTCTGTACCTGCACAACCCTCTCAGTATTTATCTCTCCTCCAAGAGTGGGATGCCTGCCATGTATTTGCATAGCATCTGGGCATGCGCCAATTCACCATGGGACTCTACCCCCAGAACTCTTATTTCTTAACATCCTCACATAGATGCCAGAAGTGGGCACTAGTTTCTTTGTTTCTTCCCCCGAGTTGTACATCTTTATCTTTAGTATGCATACGCTGTATCACATATTTCAACAGCTGCAGGAAGGAGCAAACACATACCAGATCATGAGAGTCTATGGCCACTGTATGCCTTTATGTGATGCCCACACAAATGCATTAGTAAACTTCACTTGAGATTAAGGCTGTAAAAACCTCGTGCAAGACCATCTATAAATATAGAATTTTATTATTACGAGCTCCTATAATACAAGAGCTCTGGCTGACCACCCCTGAGCTAGCTAGTAGAATTTCCTCATTCCTAAACAGGAGAATTTTAGCTAAGAGTAAATTAGTAAACACTCAGCTAACAATTCTGAGAGATCAGAAATACAAAAGTATCCTTTGTCAAGAGCTGAAAGTGAACTGGTACCATGTTTAATCTGTCAATATGAAATGTCATCGTCCCTCTAAATTTTGCTTGCATTTTGCTGACAATCTGGTTACTAAGTTGTTAGATACAGAATTAACTCTTAAGTACTTGGTCTAGCAATGGACCAAATTAAATTAATAGATAAGCAATTTGCAAAAATTCCCTATCTATCTTCTTTTTTTGTATCATTTTACATGGCATCAAAATCTGTTCCAGTTACTATGGACACATACGAATTTACCCCTCAATTTGGTGTCATGAAACAGCAATGTGTCGTGCTCACTGATTCTGTGAAGGACGTTGGACAGGACACGGTGGGGACAGCTTGTCTCTGATCCAGCGTGGTCTGGGGCCTCAGGTGGAAGATTCGAAGGCTGGGAGTTGGAATCATCTGAAGGTTTCTTCACTCCTGTCTGGTGCACAATGGTGACAGTCAGCTGAAGATCTTAGTTCCTCTCTATGTTGGCCTCTCCATGTGAGTTAATTTGTGCGTTCTCAGAGCATAATAGCTGAGTTCCAAGGACAAGTGTCCTGAGAGAGGAAACAGATGGAGGCTGTACCCTTTCTATGGCCTTAGCCTTGGAAGGAGCATAGCATCACTTCCGCTGCATCCATTGGTCAAAGATACAAGTTTCTGTCTTGATCCAAACAGGAAACATAAACCTCAGCACCAAATAGGACGGTATCAGTTACAATTTAAGAAATGCATGGGATTGGGATATGTATATTTGTATGGTCATCTTTGGAAAATACAATCTACCACACTCTGTATTTGTGTGACTTCTCTCAATGAACCTAGAAAAGAGATGCTTTCATTCTCTTCATTTCACAGATAGAAAATCAAACCCAAACAAGATTAACAACTTGGCCAAAGTAACACTTAAGTATAAGAACATCCATTAGTAAGCTTAACCATGTGTGAACTTTGTTAAGACAGAGGATGCTCCTCCCATAGCCAGAGATTATTTTGTTGCCATGTTGAGCCGCTGTTTCCTTTTTTTTTTCCTTCTTTTTCTTTTTTGAGAAAAGGTCTCACTTTGTCACCCAGGCTGGAGTGCAATGGTGCCATGTTGACTAACTGCAGCCTTGACCCCCAGGTTCAAGTGATCCTCCTGCCCCAGCCTCCCAAGTAATTGGGAGTACAGGTACGCACCACCACATCGGCTAACTTTTGTACTTTTTGTGGAGACAGGGTTTCACCATGTTTCCCAGGCTGGTCTCAGACTCCTGAGCTCAAGCAATCCACCCATCTCAGCCTCCCAAAGTGCTAGGATTACAGGTGTGAGCCACCACCCCCGGCCTGAGCCACTGTTTTATATCATCTCTCAAGTTTCATTGTCTAAGATCTGACACATGACTTGAAGACTTAGTCCTTTAAAATTTCCTCTTATTTCACCTGCTTTGGGGATTGTACTGGAAGTGGGAGTATAGCAAAGCTTGTACAGCCTAGTGGTACCATGAATAACCTTTGGAGGCAGATAAACACGGCTTTAATTCCTGGCTCTACCACTTCTTGTCTACATGCGGCAAACACATTGCTTACTCTTGGTAAGCCTCCTTCCCAACAGGGATATTAATCAGCTTCTAGAATCCGGCACAGAAGGTACATATTAATAGAATAAGTAAAATATCACTGACACCTGTCCCCACATTCTTATGCCACTCCCTAGGAACTTTCAACTAATTATAACTAGAAGTTCTCAGATGGCGTTCCATGAGTGCTTATGAACGAATCACCATTGATGCTAACAGTAGGCTTCCTCTTCTGATGCAGACCCTTTCATGGTGGATGGTCTCAGAAAGTCACTCAGGGCAGTACCTCATCCCTACCTTGGTTACAGACGCTCCCCTAAGACAAAGCTGTCTTTTTTTTTTCTTATAGAATTTTCTTTATTGCATTTTAGGTTTTGGGGTACATGTGAAGAACATGCAAGATTGTTGCATAGGTACACACATGGCAGCGTGATTTTCTGCCTTCCTCCCCTTCACCTATATCTGGCATTTCTCCCCATGCTGTCTCTCCCCAACTCCCCACCCCCCACGGTCCCTCCCCTATTTCCCCCCACAAAGCTGTCTCTTAACGAGACTACAGTGGCAATCTCTCAGGATGCTGCAGAGGCACACTATTCAGTTTATCATTGGGAGTAATGCCCCCTCCACCATTCTGCTTGGATCACATAGAAAAATCATTTTCCTGCTTTTGCTAGCAATTTCTCTCTCTGTAGGACTTGCATATTGATCCTTAGAGCCAGGAGATAATAGACACCCTTCTGTGCTCTCAAAGTCTACACAACCATCACTCTTCCTCCTCCTAACTTTCCTTCCTTTCTTCAGCTAAAAGCAAAAACACAGCTTACACGAGCCCCTTCGTCTCAGATCCATTCATCGTTTTACAGATTCTCCTACACCTGTTAATAGGCACACTATGCTTTACGTGCTCACTCTCGTCTGCACTTCCTCCTTTTTCTCTGATTTTATGTCCCAATCAGCCTCTCTTGTCTCTTTTTTGGTTTTGTCTTTTGTTTTTTTGTTTTGTTTTTGCTTTTATAAATCATGGGGCTGGTGCAGTGGCTCATACCTGCAATCCCAACACTTTGGGAAGCCTAGGTGGGTGGATCCCTTGAGGTCAGGAGTTCGAGATCAGCCTGGAAAACATGGTGAAACCCATCTCTACTAAAAATACAAAAATAGCCAGGTGTGGTAGCAAATGCCTGTAACCCCAGCTACTCAGGAGGCTGAGGCAGGAGAATCCCTTGAACCCGGGAGGCAGAGTTTGCAATGAGCCCAGATCATGCCACTGCACTCCAGCCTGGGCGACAGAGTCAGACTCTGTCTCAAAAATAAATAAATAAACAAATAAATAAATATCATGGTACCTGCCCGTAGGAATGAGCTTCACTCAGCTGCTTTCTATCAGAGGTAACTATTGCCTTGATTAGCCCAGTCTGGGCACCCAAATTTTATTACTTAGATCCTCCCAATGAAAACAAATACATGTAACATTATCGGGCAGGGGTCTTTAACTGCAGACTTCATTTAAAAAGAGGAAAAAAAGAATGTTTTGAGAATGACTCAAACCCCATTGTGGAACAAGAACTACATACAATATATATATCAAGAACCTAAGCTGAACTGAATATATAGTTAACTGCAAATGGTATTCAATATAGAACTGATAACAGCATTCAATCCCACACAACTAAGAAAAAATGTTTTAATTGGCCAGATGTGGCTGAGGGGAGTGTCTGCCCTGGTGCCCTGTAGCTGTCCTTCCTCTGTCTTCCACACCTGGCTTTTCTGTTGCCCTCTCCTGAGTCCCTCTCTGTCTGTGTCTCACACCATCTGGACTGAAGGGGTCACCCTCCTGTGTCAAGACTTTTCATGCCAATTATTTACTGCCATTTCTCTATCTGTAATGATACAAAGTTCATGTTTCATTCAAATTCCCCACTGAATCCATTTGTCAGGAGGTTGCTTTCTCCAAATATGCTCTGCAAACTGTCATCTCTGGCTGCTTGCTGTCATAAATAGACATTAGTCTCTATTTCCTGTGCCATTGCAAAGAGAAGTGTCACGTCGCTCCAGGGCTTTCGGTGGGAAGAGAGCTACTTCCAGTGTGGATACCACAAGAAAAGCTTCCCTTGTTGCCCGGCTCTCTGATACTTCCTGTGTTTCCATGGCAAACTTCCCTCTTGGATGCAGCTGCTTAGGAGGGGTGGGGAGAAGGGAACTGTTTAACTATTTTGTTTCCACCACATACCTCTTATATGTTCAATTTTCCCCTGCACACCACATGTGACTCCCGTCCTTGTCCCCTAACAAGGGGGACCTACCCACCCCCACCCCATCCTCCACCTTCATACACACACAACAGACATTTCTTTCAGCTCTCTCAAATATGGGGAGTTATTCACTTAACCCGTGGAAAATGCTATCCTTTTGGCAGGAAAATGCTGGATCCATGATAGTGCCACTAGGAAAACATTTTTTTTAACTCCTCCATTTCCAACACATCTTGGTTCTAGCAGAATGAGTAGGTTTTTGAACCCCAAAGCCATGGCTGGTGGTCACCCTAGGAAGTCACCTGCAGCTTTAAAAATCAATGCACATAATTGGCATTTTGAATCTTGTCATCACCCCCTTAAATCACAGTCCTTCACAACCTCAGCATCCACGCTTAGCCAAAAAGCTTATTGCCTCAAGGAATAAGAGGCCATTGATTATCTTTGAGTCATAAATCTGACTTTTATAAGCCACATCAAAACAATTGTCACGAAAGCCAAGCTTTGGGTAGACAGAAAAGGACACTCTGGGTTCCCTTAGCCTCTGTTTAGCATAGTAAGAGCCAGGCCTGGCAGAACAGAGGGCATCTTATCACATGCCTTGGGTAGAGAGCAAACTCTGGAGCGAACATAGAAAAAAAAAAAAAAAAAAAAAAAAGGCTAGCTTTTCAGCCCTGCTGCATTGCAGGAAGCAAAGGAGGCAGCAAAAGGGACCAAGCATAATGTCTCCTCCCTGCCCCTGTCCCCAGATGGGGCTGCAATCCTAGAATGGGGCTTATATTGGTTTAAAGGAAAACCAAACAGAGAGTCTTTTGCCTCATTTCCCATTTGAGACTCACAGCAAACTAACATGGAATAGCTGCATCAGAGACACACTTTGATTATGCAGAAAGAGGGCCTGAATTTAGCCCCCAAAGGCTCTCTTGATCCCCAAGTATCAAAAATATCTGACCATTTCCACATGCCCTGAGATAGGAAGTAGGCCGTATTTGAAGGTACCGGCTGGAGAGCTTACCCTGGGGTTGCTGTTGGGAACCAGAGGGCAGCCTGCTAGACCGGAGATCAGGTGGGAGTAACAGCCTGTCCTCCAGAATGGAAGTGACATCAAATCAGCAGAGAGGACAACCAAGTCCAACCAAACCAAGAGATGACAGAGCAGGAGTCGGCGAGCTCCCAATTTCAGCTGCCAAACAGCAGGGCAAGCAGAGTGGGAATGAAAGGGACAGCAGAGCAGAGGACTGAGGGGCCAGGGTAAAACACACATGCATCTGGGAATCCTCTTTCCCAAGGCCACAAGGTCAACCAGGCTTCCTCCTGCTATCTACTGAAAAATCATCAAGACCAGAAGAAAATCTGAAATTCTTTTTTTTTTTAATCACTTTGTTATAGTATGACTGGCATATAAAAAGCTGTACAAATTTAATGCACAAAACTCCGTGCATGTGGGGTTAAATACACACCTGTGAAACCACCTCCACCATCAAGGCCATAATCACATCTGCTGCTACAGTTTGAATGTCCCCTCCACAACTCGTGTTGAATCTCAATCTTCAATACAGCAGTATCGAGAGGTGGAACCTCAAGGAGGGTTGGGTCATGGATTAATCTACTCTTAGATCAATGGATTCATGGATTAATTCATTAAGGGGTTATCATGGGAGTGGCTTTATAAGAAGAAGAGAGACTGGAGCCAGCACGTGAGCACACTCAGCCCTGGCCATGTGATGCCTGGTGCCACCTTAGGGCTGCGGAGTCCCCACCAGCAAGAAGGCCCCAGCTAGATGCAGCCGCTCTACCTTGAACTTCTCAGCCTCCGTAACTGTAAGAAATAAAATTCCTTCACTTTATAAAT